CATTACGAATCAGGAAACTGGGATGAAGAGCTGTATTCGGTCAAGGGGTTGTACAACATCTCCATTCATTCTTCCACTGACATGGCGCCAAACAGGCTGCAGTACGGTTGGAAGATCCGTAATCCGCTCCCCTACTCATTCCCCGAACAGCCGGCTGGTCTGACGCCTGGCAGGCCTGGCTTCAACGCTAAGTTTGATCACTTGCTCAAAGTTGCCATTGCATCACTGACCAAGAGACAGCACGCCATGATCCATCATGCAAATAAGAAGCGTCAACCATCGACTATCAAAGTGGGAAGTTATATCTGGGTCAAGATGTCTGAATTTTCGGAAGAAGAGGGGGTGTCACACAAACTTCTCCCTCTGTATTAAGGTCCGTGGGAAGTTCTGGATGTGATTGGTGCAGATAAGTTTGGTCCTTCATACGTTGTCGTGCCTCCTCATCTGCGTACATACCAAGTCTTTCACGCATCTAAGTTGTTTCCATATCGCGATGCTAAAACCTTCAAATACGATGAGAATATGATCCCTTGTGCAATTAAAGGCGGTCATGCGATAGAATTGTACAGCATACTAATGAGAGGTGTAACAGAGAGCACCGGGTTCATTTCATGTATCACCCATTGGATGATCTCTAGTGGATCTCAAAGAAGGAACTACTACGCAGTGCACCTCGCGTTGTTAAAGCATATGAACGACAGATAGTCTCCGGTGCTGTCCCAAAGATCTTCGAGAAGCTCACTGCTACCGAGTATTCACGAAACCTCTTCGCTATGTATGCTTACAATGTGTTTGGAGGGAGTTACTCGCTCAAAGGGAACTCGCTCTTGAGGAGAGGGTAGTGTAAGGACCTGTCAAACACGGACTGAGACACAGCTGATTTCTGAGTTTTGCCAATGGAATGAATGCCTTGCTGAGTTCCCTAAGTCTGTGTGTGTGCGTGCTTGCTGGTCTGCGTGCCCATCTGAGTGTTTGACAACTTGAGTTTGTGTGTGACCCGCAAGGGTACTGGCTTGCTTGTGAAGGCCCATAGGGCCGGTACTTACCTGTGGCCATGACATTGAGGGTTGCAGCAGGGAAAACACTAGTGGCGGGAATAGGCCCGCGACACGTAGAGCAGCAGGGATAAACACTCAAGTAGCAGGTAGGCCGGTGCCACACCAAGTAGTGTAGATGTGTCGGGTACTCGAGGCCGAGCAGTAGAAGACGAAAGTTGGAATTTTTAGAGGCCCAGTAGTTGTAGGCTAGGTCTAGGCGGGTACCAGTCCAAGTAGTCTGAGTCTAGGGCCTGTACGGGCAATATCAGAGTCTGCAATGATGTTTCCCTCCGAAAGGGAGGAGGTACTGGTTGCTTGGAGGCCGCGTGACCTGGAAAGACCACCCAAGAGGCAAGCAGGCTGCTGTATCTCCAGGAGGAGCGAAGTGCTCTTCCTCATTTGCAGCGTGCAAGTTTGGAGTCACGTTGCGTGGGGAAGAGGAGTGCCCAGCTCTCCACCGTGGCTATGGTGGAGGAGCTCGAGATAGATGAGGAGGAAGAAGAGGACTAGGAAGGGGGAGCGCCCGAGGTACTTACCTGGCTATGGTGGAAGCCATCTTTATCACCTTGGTGGGCGCTGCATCTGGAAGGCCCCCTTGGGGTAGAGTTACATCAAGAAACTTCGAGGCAGAGTCAGGCATGGTGGCCTGAGCCGGAGCAGCCATAGCTGCTTTGAGTTGTCTTCTGCACATCAGGGCAAGGCCCTAGCAGTCTGCCGTAGCCTCGGCCTTCAGGAAGAGGGAGGAGAAGGGTGACCATGGCTATGGTGGACCTCATGTTGTACCTGCAGTAGAAGAGGGATTCGGACATTGATTCTGGTTCAACCATTCGACATTATTATTATTGTAATGACCCGCCATAACACAGACTGAGAACACTGCTGATTTCTGAAGTTCTGCCAATGGAATGGATGCCTTGCTGAGATTTCCGCATTCTGCTCTGTTTTCTAAGTCTGTATGTGTGTGTGCCTGTTGACTTGCGTGCCTGTCTGAGTGCTTGTCGGCATGAGTGTGTGTGTGACCCGCAAGGGTACTTGCTTGTTTGGCAGGCCCGTAGGGCCGGTACTTACCTGTGGCCGTGGCATTGAGGGTTGCAGCAGGGAAAACACTCAAGTAGCGGAGCCAGGGGCCCGCGGTGCTTAGAGCAGCGGAAAAACACTCAAGTAGCAGGTAGGCCGGTACCGCACC